CTACCAAGCAAACAAACCGAGTTCTGTTTCTGCTCCTAGTGACGTCGTCTAAATCTGGCCACGGTTCATCAAGCAAAGATTCTGCGGTGTCACCATGTTGAAGCGGAAAGTGGTTTAGGCCTAGGCTTTTGGCCCTTTCCCAAAACAGGTGTTTTGCTCTCAGATGCCTCATTGGTCGACACCATTGTACAATCCAAGCCAGTCGACAGATTCCCCCTCCATCGCACTGGACGTTCAAGTCCAGAATTTGGTGCATCAAAAAGCGCCCTAGGCATGTGCCTCGGGGGTTCCATGCAGCAGATCGTCACTCTCGTCAGATTTGAATCTCCAAATCCTTCGAAGCTGTTTTTCACCGCTTGCATCTTAGTCCAACCAACCCGGCCACGCATTTTCTCGCATCAGTCGCATTGGGATCTCTTTGGCTGGATTAAGTGGACCCAGCGAAGGGTCCACAAGTCCAGGCGGAGGTGCGTGAGTGAGCCATCGAATGTCCTCGCAGCTGGTCACTTCAAGGACAAGCTGGTCGCCCACCAGGCCACCAACTTCCGTGAAAATCTGCAATCCAATCGACAAGTGAACATGCTTTAGACCTGTCAGAAACGGAGGACACTTGTAATGGATGCCGTTTCGTTTCAGCACAAGACAATGGGTCAAGGGGTCCAGCGCGTGGTTGTCAAAAGATCCTTGGCTGAAATTCCGTTGTTTCAGAGTGACTCATGTTTCATGTGTCCTCAGCCTAAGCTACCAGATATTTCCAGAAGCGGCTCCTTTTCCATGAATTCAGATGAGCATCCGTTGAACTTGACATGGGCTGAAGTCTCCAGCCATACAAGAGACATTTCAAGCCCTTCTGACTGCCATGTCGTCACCACTCCTGGCTTGAAATGGCTGCTCAAACTTTGAAGTTTCAGTCTACAGTCTACGCTGATTCCATGCCAGGCCTCCAACAGCTGTCTCAAAGCTTCTCAAAGTCCTTCATGGAAAGAAGTTGCGCACCCAGAAAAGTGGCTCCAACCAACCCCACGCATTTCCTCGGAGTATCAGTCGCATTGGAACCTCTTGGGTGGATGGGGGTCCAGAATTCCTGGAGTTTCGGCCTTAAAGGGCGCCATTGGCTCTTTGTCACAGGTCACCTCGGAGGGTAAGATGTCATTTTTATGGCATAGATATGCATAGATGCAGTCCAAAATGCAGTCCAAAATGCACTACTTGGCTGCAAGCTTTGTGATTCATACATCAAAGTCACAGAGCTGAGATGTTCCAGAAGGTCTCTCGGCTAAGTCTAGCAGCCTTGGATGGCAGTTTTAATGTCAGGGGCGCCTTTGATGAACGCTGTTGGGAGATTTAACTGGAGGCAGAGCGGACGAGAAAAACCCAGGGAGTGGGTGCTGGGGGTGGACCGGGCTTCAGTCGTTCTGTTGACGGGGCTTCAGAGATTTTGTTTTTAGAAATGTACAAATTTATCTTCTTCCTGTTTTTCCAACATCCACAAGTGAAACCGGCTGTGGCGCAAGTGGCTAAATCCACAGGTGCTTGGAATTTCTTGGACCCATTGGGGTGGCTTCCTCGCTTTTTTTGGCCCCAGCAGCCCCTCACTGGCGGGCGTGATTTTTTGAATGCGGAATTTCGTTAAATAATCTGCACGTGACCCTGTCAGCACACCCTAAAGACAATTGGCTCCTCTTCTTTGGCGGGCCTATCACTTCCCCCAAACACGCGCGGCTTTTGGCGACCGCATCAGACAGCTGCCAGACAGGGAGCCTCCCTGCACTGGTAGTCTGGGTATCCACCCGGTCTAGCACTTGGGATGGAAAATAAGCATAGCAAAGGGCTTCGCCATTCACCAGCACCCATCTGGGTTGGGCCGGGTGCAAACGACTTTCGCACTGCCTGAGCAACAAACCTGTCATTTAACATCCACCACCTGTTCACACAGACTTATGCATAAGGTTGGGAAGGTTTGGGCGTGGAGTGATTCCCTTACGCAGTGTAACCCCTGCAACGGTCCCTAACAAAGGTCGAGGCCTCACTGAACAAGTGGTCAGGGTTAGCTGCACAAGCATGGGCTCAGTGACAGACCCACACAGTAACACCTCACATTGCACCAACACCAGGAATGGAGGGTGGGGATTTCATGCGATGCACCCAACCAACGACATACGCAAAAGCAGCTGCAAGCTAGGAAGTGTGAATGCCATTGCCCATGGATCACGTGAAAGGATCATGGGTACAGTGATCTCAGTGTCGCATTTTAAGAACCCAAAATTTTTTGAACCAATTGTGGCATGTGGCTTATATAAGTGTGACGGAAAAGTCGGGGGTGTTTGGGAAGTTTTTGACGTTTATCCGCACGCGAGTAATCCGTCCGTGCCTTTCAGAAGATGAACAGTGTAGGTGGGTGAGTTCATTTCCGGATGCATTGTCCCCTAGGTGTCCACATTTTTCATATCTTCAGTTTTCCAAAACATTTTCAGTTCCTTGCCAGGAATGTGACATATTTTGTGAAATTCCAAGCTGTTCGCTGAGCATGAAATCTGACTGACACACGTGACGAAGACATACGCAACAATCAAAGTTTTTGTTTGTGTTTTTCTTGTTGGGTTGGACATCGTCTTTCACTGGACGAGTTTGTTGAAAACAAACTATATACTTGTGTGGACAGTGGAACAATTATGCTTTTACTTGCATCGGCTTTCAGTGTCCACTTTGTGGTGTTCTATGTTTGTTGCTTTCCGGAGTGGCACTCAGTAGCATGACCTTTGACCAACCACTTTTTTCAGCCTTTGCAGTTTCAAAAGCAGGGGCCAAAAGGGACTGGACTTGCACAATCTGGTGTGTCCATGTTAGTCCTCCCCTTAAGCAACGGCCATGACGGTGGTCTGGGATCTTCGCTCTTTGTCCGTCTTTGGTGTCTAGCCCAGCTGGTGGCCGTCTCTTGGCATTGGCCTCGGCAGAGGGACTTCTACGCCTGGTTCCACCAGTCCCAGCTGTCAGAGGCACGGCGCCGGGGCCTGGCGACCTATGGCTATCCCGTCTTCGGATTCATCGAGGTACCCCGTTGGTCGTTGAACGAACTGGAGGTCATCACCCAGCTCTACCGGGTGGTCTTACTCTCAGGGTTTCTGGCACCGCTGTGGATGGTACCATGTGTTCCGGTGTTGGGGTTGATCTTGAGCATCTTCTACCACGGTAGCCTCTGGGCTGAGCGCGCCTCCTCGCATCACCGGGGCATTCTTTCAGTGACGCTGTGCCTGGGCGTGGTCGTCGTGTGGGCGGCCGGCGTCGTGGGTGAAACGGAGTGGGACTGCCATGGCTGCGACCCTGGACCCTCCGTTCAGTAGGGGCCGGAGCTTCTCACCAATCCCTACGGTTTGGTTCGGGACCAGTCGAGCTGTTTTCACGGAGCGTCTGGGAGCAAAGATTTATTCCTTGGATCCGGCGGATCTGGATGTCTTTTGTTCGTTTATCAATACCACGCTGTAAGTACGAGTCATACATCAAACAGTTGTGACGGACGGAAAGAAACCTCAAACACTGAACCTTCCGAGTTTTTTCTAGAGAGAAGTAAACTGGATCCTTCCCCCCCCAAACCAATGAACAAATGGGACCTGGCCGTTCCCGATGGTCGTTTCCCCCCTTTTCCTTCACCAAGACGACCCGAGACCTTCAACGACAATCTAGTCCCACTTGACCGAGGTGGATGTACTTGACGCTGGCGCCGGATCTGCCGCAGGCGCTGGCCGCCTTTCGGGCGCACATCAGCACCATTTATGCCATGTCGGTGCTCCAGAAGAGCTTCTGCTCTGCCTACCGTGGACGCTCGTGGGCCAGGCGCAGGGGTAGGAGGGAGGGGTGCCCGAACGTGAGTCGTGCGTGCCCAACGCTCCCCAAGCCATCGGAATCGTCTTTTGCACTGCTTTGGACAGGTATGACCTTGGGTGATCACAGGTTCTTTTGTTCAATCACACAGGTGATCACCCAAACAACCAAGGCTCATGAACAATCCTTGGTCGCCGGACACTTGTACTTCACCCGGAAGCGGCACAAGTGGACAAATGATTGTTTGTTCTAATCCCACTTGGGCACTCACGAAGCCTTGTGGATCGATCGAGGTGGTCTCTGCATGGTTTCTTATGGAAATCCATGTGGGCGAAGCCCTACTTTCCATCCCTACAGCGCTTCCTTTTCCTGCGCCCTGCTGTGGCGCATCTCTTGGGTTGGACTTCGGTGCTGCTGGAGCTGGGACCTCTTCTGGTGCTGCTGGCGCCGCAGGTGGCGTGGCTGCAGTGCTGCGTCTATGGCGGGTTGATGGCCATGCACCTGGCAGTGCTGCTCTTGCAGGGCATCGATTACGTGAGCTATTGGACTCCGAACCTCATGGTGTTCGGGGCGATGTGAGAAGAAGAGTTTTCCGTTGTTTTCTCTTCCCAATCTCAGATGAATCTATATACATATATCATATCTATCATCTATCCTGTTCTTCTAGTACTTGTAGATTACTTTTCAGCATCAAGATCCAGGGCTTCCCATTTTTGAGACACCAACATCACGCCCAATCTTCCATTTTTGGGGGCAGAATTTTCTGCCACGTGTGGCTTGGGATGGGGGGGCACCCAGATGGGGGCACGACCTTCACCATCCTCCTCAGGTGGGGCTTCTTTGCTCCGATGCGCCCCTTTCGGTGCTGAGCAACGCCTGGACGACCGCAGCCACTGGGCCTTGGGGCGTTTGGGTCTTGGTGCCGATGCTGACACTGCTGGGTGCGCAGCTGCTGTTTGCCCTAGGCAGGGTGGTCAAAAGAGGGGGGGTACCTTTTGGCATCGCGTTGTTTTCCTCCCTTTTTTCTTTTTTCTATCTTTGGTGTTTTGCTTTGTGTGGTGCCTCCGTGAGAATCTTGGAATGTTCCGAAGAATCCTAGCTTTGTGAGCCGCTCTTTTTTTTCCATTCATTGCAGACCTGTAAGCCCACCACTTCGCACAAATCTGCTCACCTACCTGCAGGTATGGCAGAGAACTTCAATATCAACCTCCCACCCCTCATGTCCTGCCCCATGTTTGTGACCATTGCCCGTTTGGACGACCGATGCCATCAGCACTATGTGATGACGGTAGATGGATCCATTCCCTACGAACGCATCGAATGGATGTATCCCTTCGTTCGAGCCGAGTATGGCATGGCCTTGACCCAATCGGACGTGGCACATTTCCCGATGCCCTTCGTGGCCTTTGGCTGGGGCGGCTCTTTGGAAGGGGCTCCAGGGCTCTTTCACCACTTCTTCCGCGAGATCCGTGGCTTTTATCTCATCACCAACGTGCGCCACTTGCCCAAAAGCCTGCAGTCTCAGTTGAGATCCATCGTTTTGGACTTGCACGCGGGCGGCCGCGCGGGAAACCAGAGCCACCGCCCTTCGCCCTACGAGAACCTGGCCTCGCTGGCCGACCGCTGCGCTATGGCGCGCCGGGCCTTCCGCCAGCACGTGGCGCGCACGGCGCGGTGCCACGACGGCGGCAGGGGCGCGACGGCCATGTGGGCGGAGGAAGCGCTGCGCGGCGAGCGTTTCGAACGGACGACGACGGCGGCGACCCGTCGGGTCAAGCGCGAGGGTGCCGGACACCTTGGCCGGTGTCGTGACGGGACGTGCATTACGTCTCGTGAAGGGCGGCGCGGCGTACGAAGAAAGGCGTGGGCGCGGCCCCATCAGCTTCCGGCGAAGAAGCCATGGCATGCTTCGTGTATAGCGAACTTGAAGCGATCTCATCGAGCTCGGTAGCCTCGAAGAGCACTGATTTTGGGGGCCCCCATGTTGATGCGTTGTGGTAGAAAAGGAAGTCTGAACTCTGTGAAACATTCTCAGCCTCAGCAGTGCTTTTTGGGTTGTTTCCTGGCCTCTGGTGCAGTTGTGCAGCATCAAACTGGGGGCTCTTTCCATGTTTACCTCCCTCCCTAAGCTCCATGCAACACTCCACCGATGTACAGTCGGCCGCACAGAACTTGCAGCTCTTCGCTGTGCGCCGAGAGAGTTGCGTTGCAGACTGGGCATGTCGGAAGTTGTGCAACAAAAGCCGGTTTGGCTTTGGCTTCAGTTGGACTGGTGATTGGGGAAGACCAACATACTGTTGGTGGAGAGAAGCACAGGATCAGTGTCCTCTGAAAAACCAGCAACCTAACCTGAGGCTGGTCTTTTAGAATCTTTTAGAATTGTTGAGGGTACCATTTGTCTATTTTACCGAATTTTTGGGCCCAACGGCTTCGCTGGAAGCCCAGGCCTTCGGCTCGTTCCAGTCCGAAACCAGCACTACCAGCACTCAGCTCATCTCAGCTCCACCAGGTTGTCCTTACTCAGCACAGTTTGGATGCTTCGGACCGTTTGGTGCTGCTCTTCGGCCATTTTGCCGCTTCAAACCTCGCGGTTTCGGGTTGTGACAGAGTGGGTGGTGCAGGCGTGGGCTGGGACGATGGGAGCGTCAAATGGTTTTTCCGCTTTTCTGACGACGGCTGGTGCTGAAAGAAGACAGCACGACTGGGAACGGTGTCGGAGGTGGTTTTGTTACAGTTAACTACCATGCTTCAACGATGCCTCAATCCGATTGAATCCCCAGTCAGTCCTGGCAAAAGTTTTCACAGAACAGTTTTGCGGAGGCCACTTTCTTTTTGAGTGTTTCCAGCTTTTGGAGAAAGCTGGCCCCTGTCCACCAGCGCCCGATGTGATGCGTCTCATGGATGAACGCTCTGCGTCTCCTGTGCCGCGGACCAACCATTGCCATGTGGACCGACCAAGTTCTTCGGATGCGTTTTCTGCACAGCATCGGACGAGAACAAAGAAGGGTAGGAAGGAACAAGCACCAGAATCTGGACTTGGTGAGGGGTACGGTACAGACCAAACATCAAATGTTTACTCTTGATGATTATATTACTAACCTTCCCCTTTACAGACAATCATTCACTGTTGGAATGGGACATACCCAAGGGTCAGTCACCCTGTCTCAACCTCTTTTTCCACCAAAAAGGACGTGTCATCCTCTTTTCACATCTTGAAGGGGTCCATCTGGGGTGCAGATCCATCATTATTGTATAAGATAGTATAAATATGCAGAAGATATAGGTATATTTTACATGTATTTTACATACAGTATATATAGTATATAGATCCTTTTCTGATAATCCACCTCCGACGTCGCCACAGACCATGTCACCATGGGCGGCTGCGAAAGCTGTGCCACGGGCCGCCGGAAGGAGGCGCCGGGGACGCGACGCGACGCGTTCACGACGCCCGGCACGAAGCGAAGAGGAGTGAGACGTGGCGCCGGCTGTTGGCCCCGGAAGGGGCGATTTCATCCGAGCGGTGAACTGCTTGGACTCAAGCAACTGTGATTTAGGGTCATGTCAGAATGTCATGCCAGGTTCCTTGAATTCCTTCGTTCTTTCTTTGCTAACAAGCCGTTGCTTGATCAGGTTGAGCGCTTAATTGATGAAGCAAAGACCGGGGAACTCAGCTGAAACTGTGGTGATGGGTTTCGGCTCGAAGATCGCCAGCAAAAGCGTGATGAGCACGGGGGGAAACATGGTGAACATGGTGAATGGACGATCAAGCAACTCATGAACACAGGGCAGGGAGAAGACCGCGAGCCACACCTCTGTAGCCACACCTTTGTTTGTGGACGCCCGTGGACCCTGCATGGGGCCAAGGGTCGTTTGGTTGACTCGTCTAGTGAGGTGGAGAACACACATGGAAGATGGGTGCGTCCAGAGTGATGTTCCATGTAGCGACGTTCAACCTGAAGACATTGGTCACTGCCATTTGTTGGACCGACATGTTTCGGCACGTCTCCTTGCGCTCACATGTCACGCCAGGTGACCAGATCTCTTGAGTTCCTGGTTCTGCCGTCCTCCGAACAATCGATTCAAAAGCACATGAAACCGCCAAACATAAACAGATCGTCTTTTTTTTGGGCCAAAAAGGCTTATTGGAGGGAACCCTTTCCCTCCACCCTTTTTTCCCCGTTTCCGGTCCCCTCAGGCGGCATGGCGACTCCCGGAACCTACGCGATGCCATCCAAAGAGCAGCTGGGCGGAGTTCGACCGTCCCGTTCGATCCGTTTTCGACCAGTGAGGAGGCGAGAATGGGTGATGGGTGGTGGATGGAGACTGAGACTCAGTGGATGGTGGGGTGGGTTTTTGGAGGTGAGAACGGATTAAGGACAGGCAGTTCTTTTGTGCTCCAACTTTCGTTGAGGTGTGCTGATAAGCTGCGAGCCGATTCTTCCACCGTGGACGGGATGCTGAGCGGTCTTCTTCGGTCGCCCAATTTTGTTTATATGAACTCCTTGGGCGCGACCTGCAAAGGGGGTGCAAATGAAGAATTAAACAACTATGAGTTTTGGCCGCCGCCTTGGAGTGCCAACGTGGAGTGAACACCTGTGCTATACCTTGCCTCAAACCGCAACTCCTGCAGGCAGAGGCCGAGGGAATGGATGTCCTCGCCGCCAGGCTCGATCTGTGATCACGGACCTCAGGCTTTTGGAGGGTATAGGCCCTACATCATGAACATTCAGGAAGTCCTCAGGCCTCCGAGAAAACAACGCACACACCAGGCCCGCCGCCGAGGGGACGTCGGTTGTCCGTCGGTGAGGCGGCTTTATTCGGAGCTGGCGAAGCAAGAGCGGCAGAGCCCCGAACGGGCGCAGGTGGGTGGTGTTTGCCGTGGGTGGACTGTGGTTGGTGGTTTGTGCCCAAATGGCTGGCCTTTTGGAGGCTTGCCATGCCGTTTGCAACCTGACTATATAACTAGGTCATGATGAGGATATGGTTTGAGTTGACAAGGAGGTCAACCACCCAGAATGTGGACTTATGCAAAGGACATCTGGATCCGGTCACAGATCCCCGATCCAGACTGTGAGCGAGTCCTCGCCCCTTGGAGCCCCGCCGCGCATCGGAGGGGGTTGTTCCACCAGCCGAAGGGGCTTCCCTTTCAAGATGTAGACATGCAGGATTGCATGCCCCCTGCATTTGCCTTGATTGTGACAGGATGAAGAGTGTCGGTGTCTTCCTCTTTTCCGATCGTTTGCAAGTCTTTCTTTCTGCAAAACGACCCTTTTGGCTGGTGACGGTCAGTCTTTTCATTCCACCTTTCAAGTCACCCTTTGCCGCACTTTCTTTGCAAGAACCATGGCACTTGACCTGAAAAACACAGCTCTTTGCATGAACTGGCCTTTGCAGAAGATGGGTTTCAACTGGGTCGGATTGTTGAGATGGAGAGTGCATGGATTCGCAACGCCCAGCCGCCGCAATCGCGTGGTCCGAGGGCACTTCCTCCCCTTCGTCCCAGGGTGGGGAACCATGAGCTTCAGTGTTTTCGAAACCGCAAGGGCGCGAGCTCCACTGAAAAACCGAACAAAACTCATTCTTATACCACACCCTCACCACACCTCCGGTCTCTTTTCCACTCTTCCCTCCCGCCCTTTGCGGTCGGTTCCTGTTTTTTGGCGCTTTCCTTGGGTGAGCCGAAGTCGGCGCGGCGCGCAGTGGCCAGAAGGAGATGCTCCGCTGGGCGGCCTCGACGCAAGATGGTGTTCGGGAAGCCCAGCAGAGAGACGGAGAGGAGGAGATCCTCCCTGGGTTTGGCGGCTCGAGCTCGGCTCTCGCCTCTGCGGAGACCCGCGAGACTCGTTGTGATGCGGTGTTGGAAGGGCTTCACGGTGGGAAAACACGTGAGGCGAGTGGTGTGTTCTTTCCATTTTCTTTAAAGGTACTAAGCGGTGAGAGGTGGGATCATGTGGGGATCGATAGAGCTAATAGACACCACTGTTTGGTGGTTTCGGTCGGTTTGGAGGGCAGGGGTTATGGTTTCAGATGAAGTTTCCGTCTGTGGAAGAGCTGTGGAATTGACTCGGCTGACTTGCAAACGACTCTATTCTTTCACCCACGCAAAAAGATTAGAGAAATCCAGAATCTTTTGGAAGGAAGTGGAAGATTCAAGAACAACAGACAACATGTTTGGTCAGCATACGGGCATACGGACATAGATTCAATCAACTCTCGATTAATTAGTAACAGCACAAGCTTCCCTCGCGTCGAGGCACGGAGACGGTTTTTCCTTCGCGGAGGAGTGTGTGAGACTGTTCTTCTCCGCTTTTCGCTGGGGCCAGGTGATCCTGAGGCAAGTCATCGAGGAGGCGTGGCGGTGTGAAAGATCTCCAGTTTGGGAAGAGTGTGGTAGGAGGTGAGAGTGTGGGCCGAGTTGGGTGAGAGCATGGTGCAGCTGCTATTTTTGGGTCTGGTGAGATGGATGTCTCATTTTGTTTGGTTTGTTGGTGGGATGGAGTTGGGATTGGAGTTGGCTGAAGGTTGGTGTTTGGCTTGGGGGTCAATGCTGCAGAGACTGGAGGAGCAGAAGCGGTGGCCGTTGGGTTGGTCGATTTGTTGGTGGTTGCTGCTTTGTTGAACACTGCTTTTGGTTAGAGGCGTCGGAGTGGAACTGGATGAGAACACCGAAGGAGAACACCGCCCAAAAAGCACAGGATGCCTTCTCAGACTTGGAAAGAATCCACAAAGACAAGGCATGGCATGCCATACGGCCGCATGGCCGCTCACCGTTTTGAGGGAACTGATGGGTGTGAAGTGGTGTGGAGGTCCCCCCCGTCCCGTGCCCTCCGAAAACGCCGGGACGGGACGCATCCAGCACAGGTGGAGACCTTGTGCCCCGATTCGGTGGCGCTACAACCGGCACGCAAGCGCTTGGCCGAGTACCAGGCCGGCCGCCCGAACCGCGCCGATGGCCCGATGGCAGGGGCGGCCGGTATGACAGCAAGGGCCAGATGTCTGCGTTGGACTCGCCCGAAAAGAAGTGAACCAGAAGTCACCAAGGGTGCCGAAGTATTGGAGGATAGGTTTAGGGATGCCTCACTTGGGGACTCAAAAACCACAGATTTGTGACAGAATCTTAGTCTTAGCCTTTTTTTGGGTCGCTCCGTTCAAGCGGTGCCACATCCCAAGAAAATAGAGCTGGGACCCTGTCTAGATACTATCCCGTCTGGTCCATTTGAGTGTGCACTGACGGAATTCACTAAGCACACACATTAAAATTAATGAGGCTAGATAAGACCAGCCAAGGAATCCGTTAAAGCTCCATACGTATTGTGGGAATATGCTTCTCTCCATCATATCATCCAAGACACCCCACCTGACGTCCGGCGCCAGAGTGGAGGAGGAGATGAAGCGGCGCATCAGTCGGACGCAGGAGCGGCTGACCGCACGGGCAGTCAGCACCGGGGGCCGATCTCCGGTGGACGCTGTTGGACGATCCAGATGCCGAAACCATCACAATACACACATTCTACACATGTTCTGTGTTTGGGATTTAGACCTCGATTCGCGCGGGGGATGTTTGAGGGTCCAACTTTGAGCTCCGAACCGTTCTGGGAAAACCGGCCGCTGAGGACCTGCAGAAGCTCTCCTTCTTTCTGGACCGAGCCAGGCCCGGGCGGCTGGGCTGGGCGGCTTTTGGGGGGGCACCGTGTGGAACGCAGGTTCGTACTAGAACGAACGTAAGATTGAGATGATTGAGATGATTAAGATTGCAGACTATAAATTGCAGATTGAGATTGAGATTTGCTGCCTGAACATGAACATGGTGGCTTGAATGTTACTGTACACACAGGTCATTTGCCGGCGCATCAGGGTTGGCGGAAAAAGGCTTGATCGAAGAACACCAAAGACATCTCCGTCCGGATCCTCTTGGTCTGGCAGAGAAAAAGGATGCGGTGTGTTTTTGTGGCCAGGTCTGTTTTTTCGGCACTCCACCCCACCTCCCGTCCACCTCGAAGATCCGCCCTCAGAGGCAGATGGGCATCCCTTCGGCGGAGCTGGCTGAGCACTTTCACCGGATCGAGGACGAGCCCTGAAAGACGGTGGGCTTCCCGCTGTTCGCCGCCCGCCCGAGCGGGTCACCTAACTGCGGGGTGCAGGTGGGTCACCAGGTTTGGCACGAGAAAAAGGTAGGTTTCAGAGGTTCGGATGGCACACCTCAAGATGTGACAGAGGGGGGTCTTGCGCACCCTTTTTTCGGCGCTTAAGAGACGCGTCCCTTCTCTGCATGGATAGTTGTGTTGTTGACCGACAAAAGCGGAAAGAAGCTATAGAGGTGAATTCACCACGCGGTAGCTCGCGAAGTAAAAGCAGCAACTAATTTATATACACACACGGCATATCTAGAAGGGCCCTGTAGGAATGGGCACCCCAGAAAAATCACTGGTTTGCTCTCCCAAAGCGAGGCATTTGATCACCAAAATCACATCTTTGTTTGAACGGAATTTCTTCGTTGGAGTTTCATGATCAAAGATCGGCACTTGGAGCGGCAGGTGTTTCATGGTCGGTTTTTCATGGTCGGTCGGTTGGATCGCCATCGAGATCATCAATGTGTCTGAAGATGTCTGAAGTGCTTGAAGGTTAGGGCAGCATACGCGGGTCCTGAGACGTGGATATAGAGGAATTGGACATTCGCGCCGGTTCACGAGCGGAACTTGGGCGACTGGTTTGAAGTGTTGGCACTTATGGAGTGTTTCCGCTGGTCACCGCAAGCACCGCAAGCACCGCCCGGGGTGGAAGCAACTGGATTTTGTCTGGGTCAATCGGACATGCTTCTGTGCGGCCTATTCCCGGAAGATGGATCGGGAGGGACAGTCCTGTGGCCAACATAAAGGAAATTGCTAACTCAATCCAACTGATGCCCACGTCACTTTTAGATGGTAGTGACCCTGGAGGGGGCGGAAGTGGTCGAAAAACATCCCAGACTGCTTTAGATAGGGTTCTTCCCCAGATACAGTACCCACTCAGTGAGGCGTTGGTTTGTAGCTTGGTAGGTCTTAGCCATTTGGAGGGGCCCCTGATGAGTCTGGGCCAGTTGGGGGATGGACGTATAATCTATTCAGGTGGATACAGCGGGTAGCAGATCTGCTTGTGCATCAATATGCTGATTGGCCAAAGAGAGGAGGTGGGTCAATTCGGGGTCATCATCTTCTCGAACGGCTAGTGCTGCTTTGTCGGCATAATGATTACCCTCAATGTCAGAGGGGCTCCATCTAAAGCTCCGAACTTGGGGTCACTTGCGAGCGTCTGAGTACAGCGCTACTGTCCGTAGCTGTTTTGTGCTTTCAACGTCTGGGATCCTTCTGCGCGCCGAGCGGCGGTTCACAAGGCGCGCAGAGAGTTGAGGGATGAGCGCCACTTGGTGGCGAGTGACCTGAGTGAACCGTTGCTTTCCAATCAACACAGAGGTCTCAGGGGCTCTATTTAGACAGGTACAGGTTCTGGGATGGCTTTTGGACTTGGGCGCTCTAATTCGGGCTAGAAGGGCACTTCTCATTGTTAGCAGAAGTGCCAGGCCGGAGTCGGCCCGAGTCGGCCGGCCCCGGAGTCAGCAGAACTGGTCTACCATGGACGCCCGGGGTGGAAGCTGTGGGGGGAAACCACACACCAGTCTCACCAGTCTTCATCACAAAGACTTCATCGCGGGGATGTCAACGCAGAGTGAGGCTCCGACCGGTCCGGTGCAGAGTGAAGGCTCAAACGCCGGCGAAGCGGCCGGCCGAACGGCCGAACGGCGCTCGGTGAAACGGTGAGAAGGAGAGGGCTGTGGGCTGTTTGGAGAGGGCCAGATCCGGGGGGTTAAAGATTCTGTGTATAGATAGTCTCGTGTTTTTCTTCTCAGTCTTATCCATGGGAAGGAGACATCTCCAAGGACGACAAGAGGATGGCATTGCGGCATTGCATGGTGTATAGTCTTGTGTCCACCAAACATTCAGCGACACCACGCAGCGATGCACGACTGACGCATGCACCCCCCGGCCACCCCCAAAACACCCGGGACCCACCGACCCGCGCCGCGCGGACGTCCCATCCGCCGCGGCACGGACGACTCCATGGCGTTGCCGCGGATCGACGTCCGGACGCTCGGGAGAAGGGAGAAGGTGCCCGGGTGCAAGAGGAGGGGTTGAGTCACTTGGGGCTGACAGTCACTGGTGGCCCCATGGATGGAATTCTGGTAGTGTGTGGAGGATGCGTATGACATGACACGGTGACGCGGACACATTTACTTTTTTGCTGTGAAAGAGAAGGTGATTTGATGCTATGGTTTGTTGGAACCCTTGCAATTTGCTGACTTATTCACAGTGGCTCAAAGCAACAATTGCAGAAGTCTTCTGCCGCAGAGAAGAAGGGATCTAAGACTAAAACGCCAAATTTGAGCTGCATTTGGTAAGACCCAGATGACAACCCTCAGACTGTTGCTCCACATTCTGTGAGGCCCCGCAGATGAAGAAACAGGCGTGAGCGGACTGCGTGTCTGAGCATTGCGGCTTGGCCAAGTGCAAAGCCAAAAGGTAGGCAAAAGGTTCAGCAAGGACCACTCAATCTGATGTGACCTTCAACTTGAACGGTTCAAGGAGTCTCATCCATTTATATATATATATATATAGAGATGGCATCCCCAAAACCAGTTGGTGCTCTGCTTGACCTCTCTCCCGCTGCTACCCGCCACCCTCCCAGTGCCACCCGCCCCGCTCAGCCCGCGGACCGTCGGACCGCAGGTGTCGCTGCCCGAGTTCCGGCGCCTCACGGGGCACACGGCGGTGGGCGGCGCCTGCTTGTCCCAGGGGCTGCTGCCCGGCTGCGAGGAGCGCACGATCTCGCAATGGCCCGGGCGCTTGGGGCGGTGGAGTGATGTGGAGTGAGGTGGTGCGGAGGCGGTGGAGGTTTGGTGCATCCTGTTTTGGGAAAGGACGTGATGGGGCATGAGGAGAGGCTTGTACTTTTGTTGTCTTAGGAGGAAGAAACCCAGGGTCTCGGCGGTCTTAGGATCGTGTGTGCAGGATTGCTTTGGGAGGATCAAACCCACCGAAAGCATTGGGCCGACACCTGCCGCTGATCGAGGTCTCCCTTTGCCCTGGGCAATCCCAAAGTGGAGACAGTGAAGGCGAGATGTGTTGGCAAGTTGCCGGAAGGAGGGCGACTTACTGTGTGGGTGTGTCTTTAAGGAGGCAGGCTTGCTTGCCGGATCTCCGGGGATTTTGTTCGGGTGCGAAAGTTGACACAGAAGTTTGGGAGTGACTGAGTCTGAGAAGTCATTTCTTCATTTCCATTTTCAGATGTTCTGCAACTTTTAAGCATCTTGTCAGTCTTGGCTCCCCCACGTCGGTTGGCCGACTCCAGCCCCGATGCCCACGTCAGAGGACCTCATCTCCTTGCGTTGCAAGGGCGCCATCGGCGCGCCCTGGTTCGAAGACCGGGAGCGGCCCATCGCCGGGGTCGACCTGGCCGAGCCAGGCGCGTTCGTTGCGACTGAGACAGTTGGACGACCATGGGGCGGGTTTGGGCATGTGGGACACGTCGAAGACGAGGTGTGTTGGGAGCTCCTTTTTTCCCCAAACAGTTTAGTGTTAGGGGTTCTCAATGCTTTAAAG